GCGTGTTTGATTTTGTCGGAGCGTGTTTGATTTTGTCATGTCACCTCATAATGTCCTATTGTCTGTAAATGCTCGAAGGGATAGACAATAGCGGGCACGGGCGGCTGCGGGTGAAAAGATACTACATCCCGGGTGCGGGTGGGCAATGATTTTCTTGCGGGTGCAGGTTGGTCTGGGTGAACCTTTTTTACGGGTGGCGGGTGGGTTGGGCGTGGGTGGAAAAAGTCGAAAAAATGCTTGGATGGGTTGGATCAGCTTCAAACCTTTTTTTTGTTTTGTTTTTTAAGGGTTGCATGTACTAAGAAAATTTTGGGTGGGTTGAGTGAAGTGGCATTTCACTAAAAAAATGCTCATCTCTGCTTCAATGGTCCTTGCACGGCCGGGCAACCCAGGCAAACAAGGTGATCCGGGCGGCCTGGGTGGTAGTGTAGCTAACCCGCATATTATTTTTCTACGGTATCCTAGATGATAAGAATTGTCAGCAATTACTGATGATAAGTGACCAGTCCCAAGAAGGTACATAGAAGGATGTGGCATGGTTACTATAGTATGTAGTACTTTGCTTTGGTAGTCCCCGTGATGGGACTTTTTATGAATTTGTATTTTCTGTGTGATCGTCATGATGGTTGTTATTTTATATATTATTGAATTGTTTTTTTTACATTTTGAAGACGGTGAGAAACTGTGGGCCTAGCACTCCTTGAGACGGTACATTGCCGAAGTGAGATACTACGTCGAAGTAAGATTTAAAATAGAGGATGAGTTGTGATGCGCATTCACATTGAGCAGTACATGCGGGAGGAGGTCTGTAGTATGTAGAGGTCTGTGATTTTTTCAATGTGGTTGTGCTGTGATATGTACTCCTCAAGCTACGTCACTACTTTTCAAGTCATAATTTCATCTCCAGAGAATCTCAATCAATAACTTTGTCTCACAACAAAAGATTCTTCATCGTCCTGCTACCCCACCAAGTCAAACCCTTGCAAGTAGGGTCACAATCAAACATATACGCACCCTCCACTCATATGGTTACACTTGTCCGCTCGCATACAATCTAAACTGTATCTCGCCTGGAAGCATACTAACAACCAGTAATAACAACACAAGTAACTACTCAATGAACTGCCAGAGTGCCAAGCTTCTCTTCCCAAAACAGCTGTGGCTGGTCTCGCCATGTCTCGCCATAAGCACATTAACCACAAGGTTGTGCGGTGCCTCCTCTCGCCTTGGAATCTGCAAGTCGAGAAACCAGTGAATTGTCAGATGAACCATGTTTATCAGTGTGGCAGTGTGGCATGCAGTGGCAAGTGAAGAAACCAGTGAATTGTCAGATGAACCAGGTTTATCAATCTGGCCGCAGTCTGATTGGCATCTGCTCCCTCGGCCATTTGGGCCAGTGCTGGGATGAACCAGTTTGTCAGGCTGGGACCAAGAAAGGACAAGCCTGCAAAAATAACGAAAAGTAGAAAACTGTAGAAATGACCCCGAAACATTCCGCTGTTGGCAAGTGGAGCATTTGTCAAACGGTTGCAACTGTGGCCCATCTGAAAAGCCTCCAGTGTGACAGTGTGGCATGCAGTTGCAACGTCGGTGAGGTAAAAGTAATATTGGTAATTACAGACCCATCACCCTTACGTTGCTAACAGTGGTGTACAAATTGGTAGCCAAGGTGCTCACCTACCGGATGATCCTTGCGCTGGAGGGCATCATACACCAGTCACCGAAAAGTTTTATATGTGAGCGTAACATCCATGATAATGTGTTTCTAGTATTTAAAAGCTAGCACCGCAGTCCAAACAAGCGCGACGCTGTTGTTCGCAGACTTTTGGAAAATCGTATGACCGTGTGTGGACTGACGACTGTTTGATCGTTGCCATGAGTCACAGAATTGGGTAGGCATCCTGCATTGCAACGCCATGATAAAGGTGTAGTCGAATGGCCTGCTTGGAAATATCAGTTCGTCATGGGGACCTCTTAGCTCCTTTCCTCTTTCTGGTAGTCATGGAAGCTCTAGGGGCGAACTTGAGGACCCACAGGACCATCTACTAAACTCCGCATTGTAGGGATCCCAGAGGAGGCAATTCTCATTTACTCCATATTTGCAGACGACCTGCCTATCATGGGGGAGGCAACAAGCGCGAATATGGAGGAGATTTGTCGCTCATGTACAATTTTGAAAGTATCTGACATGGTGGTGAATTGGGGGTCCAAGATCCAAGGCGGGTGGATTCACTAAAAGGGGGAAACAATTGTAACAGCCCCATGTGAAATGGATGTCCCTTGCAACCCAAATCAATGTTTTATGGGTTGCCTTGTCAACCATGGGCAAACCCACCACTAGTGAAGCATGCTTCTCCAAACCCACCTTGGGAAAAAGATGAAAAGATGGAAAAATGAACATACCGTCAATGTTATTTTCCCCTTGTCGTTACCGTCTGCCCCACAACAGATTGTCGCAATTAGTCCTTCCCCTCCAGGACTTAGTGCGTCGCGCCATTGGCAAAGCTCGTTGTAGTGCTCAGTTGGCGACTCGCGATGATGCTATGGTATCTCTCATGGATTTGAGCATTTTTCAGGCTCGTCAGGAGTGACTTACGGGCACGTAAACGTTTTGCATTGTTTTCTCACCCCGCTCTCTGACCCTGAGTACACCTTCCCCATTATCACGTTGTGGTATCTCTTATGGATTTGAGCATTCTTAATGCTCGTCAAGA